ATTCATTTTCCATATTTTCGACTATAGATCATATGGGAGCTATATGATATAGTTGTCCGATTTTGATCAAATTTAATTCGTAACTCAAGAGTCGTAAGAAAACTCTATATTCCGAAAATAATGTTTGTCTGATGAAAAACAACGATGTTATAATTTTATTTCCATAATTTCTATATAGATTTTTCGATCTTTCCTATGGCAGCTATAAGATATAGATGACCGATTTTTATGAAACTTTTTTCTCAATTTTATATCGTTGTTAAAAAACTCGATATTCAAAAAATCATGCTCGTGGGATAAAAAACAACGATGTTATCAATTTATTTCCATTAATTCTATATATAATTTTCGATCTCTCCTATGGCAGCTATATGATAGAGTTATCCGATTTTGTTCAAATTTAATCCGAAATTCAATAACAGTTAGAAAACGCCATCTTGAAGAAATAAAGTCGATCTGATCAAAAACAACAAAGTGAGAATTTTTTATTTCATTCTCTTGTATTGGAGCTATCCGATATAGTCGGCCGATCCGGCCCGTTCCTACTTATATACTGCGTGCAACAGCTACACATCTTTTGGGAAAGTTTCAGCACGATAGCTTTAAAACTGAGAGACTAGTTTGCGCGGAAACGGACAGACGGACAGACGGACAGACGTACATACATATTTCGATTCTGCTCGTGATGCTGATCAAGAATATATATACTTTATGGGGTCTGAGGTGTCTCCTTCACTGCGTTGCAAACTTCTGACTGAAATTATAATACCCTTTTGCTCTGCAAGGGTATAAAAATAACACTCCCGAAGAAGGCAACGACATCGGTGAATTTGGAGAAGGCGAAAGGCGATGGGCAGCGTTTAAAAGCAGCAATCCGCTGCTATAATTGCAACTCCTTGGGCCACGTCGCAGCAGAGTGCCGAAAACCAAAGAGAGAATATGGGGCTTGTTATGGATGTGGCAGCTTGGATCATCGCATTGCTACATGTGATCAGAAGAAGAAGTCGACCAACGAATTTGTAAGGTATTTTAAGTTACAATTTAAAGCAAAAATTAATACTAGCATTTTCGCAGCGTGTCTCATCGATTCAGGGAGCCCGATCAGCTTCATAAAAATATCATGTTTAAGTGAATATTTTAAAAAATACAATAATAATGTTAATCAATGTGAAAAGACAAATGTTAATTTTGATAATTTTGACGATCTGAAAAATCATTTCAATTTTGATGTTTTTGAAAAACCTGTTAAAAATTATGAACAAAATTCTTATTTCTTTGGTATAAATAAAAGTAAATTAAATATCTTCGATAAAATAATTTGTTTTATGCCTGGTAAATATAGAGAAATTGAAATTGAAATGTTTGTCGTGGCAAACCAATCGATGAGTTATGATGCAGTGTTAGGAAGAAATTTTATTAAAGCATTTAATTATAAATTGACAAGTTCAATAATCAATGATAAAGAATATATACAAAAGGAGTGCCCTGAAATTCCAAATTATAAGACAGATGAGTTACAAAGTATAAAGTTAGACAAAGAGTGCCAAAATGAGTGTTTACCAAATGAGTGTTTAGAAAATGAGTGTTTAGAAAATGAGAGTTTAGAGTTTAAAGAAAATGAGCGGTTTGCAAAAGATTGTTTAGAGTTTAAAAAAAATGAGTGTTTACCAAATGAGTGCATAAAAAAGAAAGGTGTAAATAATGAATATAAAGAGAATGAGAGTAATTTAAATGAGTGGTTTAAAAATGAATGTTTAACAGATGAATGTCAGAAAAACGAGTGTACAACGGATGAATATGTTTCTGAAACTATTAAAAATGAAGATAATGTAAATTTGTTTGAGATGCTACCAATTGAATATCCTGAGGCTAAAGATGAGGTAAAATTGTGTGTTGGAAAAAATTGTAGTCAGAGTTTAAGCAATCAATTGCAATGTTTATTTAAAAAATGTTATGAAAATGCAAGCAGACCAAAATTACCAGAAATTAAGTGGGAAATGAAACTAAATTTTGACAATATAAAACCATTTCATTATTCTCCGAGAAGGCTATCGTATGTAGAAAAAGAACAGGTTCAAAAATTAATTGATGAGTATCTGGCAAAGGGATTTATTAGAGAGAGCGATTCTGAGTATGCATCTGCAATTGTATTGGTAAAAAAGAAGAATGGTGAACCAAGAATGTGTGTTGATTACCGAACTCTTAACAAAAGTATGTTGAAAGATAACTACCCGTCACCACTTATAGATGATCTGATTGATAAGCTGGCAGGAAAAAAGTTTTTTACAAAAGTTGAGTTGAGACTAGATAAGTGTGAATTTTTACAATCGGAAATTAAGTATTTAGGATATATAGTGACAGGAGGAGAAATAAAACCAGATGATAAGGGAGTGCAAGCAGTCAGTGATTTCCCGGTACCAAAGAAAGCAAGAGATGTTCAAAGTTTTTTGGGTTTATGCTCCTATTTTCGACGTTTTGTTAAAGATTTCTCGACAAAAGCAAAACCACTGTATGACTTGATAAAAAAAGATAGAGAGTTTAAATTTGGATTAGAAGAACTTGAGTGCTTTGAATTATTAAAGAAAAATCTTTTAGAAGGACCAGTTTTAGCCTTATATAACCCTGCTGATGAGACTGAATTGCACTGTGATGCTAGCTCTTTAGGATTTGGAGCGATTTTGATGCAACGGAAAGTTGATGGAAAGTTACATCCGGTATTTTATTTTTCAAAACGAACGACAGAAGCTGAGTCTAGGTACGAGAGTTTTAAGCTAGAGATGCTAGCTATAGTGAATGCGTTGCAACGTTTCAGAATATATCTTCAAGGTATACATTTTAAGCTAGTAACAGATTGCAATGCATTAACATTGGCTTTGAATAAAAAAATATTAAGCCCAGCAATTGATAGATGGGTCCTTGAACTACAGAACTACGATTACATTCCAGAACACAGACCAGGCAAGAGGATGCAGCATGTAGATGCACTAAGCAGGTGTGTAGAGGTATTAGCCATAGATACTAACACTTTTGAAGAAAGTTTAATAATTTGTCAAAGTAAAGATGAAAAAATAAAAAGAATTAGAGATAGTTTGCAACAGTCTGAACAAAAGCATTTTGAAATGAGAAATGGAGTTATTTATAGGAAGACAGATAGTGGTAGCTTGCTATTGACAGTACCGGAGGAAATGGAAGGACATGTACTGTACAAATATCATGATGAGTTAGGACATATTGGAGTGAATAAAATGATCGAAATTATATTGAAAAGTTATTGGTTTTCTCACATGAAAAATAAAGCTAAACGCCATGTAGACAACTGCCTTAAATGTATTGCATATTCAGCAAAGAGTGGAAGGGAAGAGGGTTTCTTAAATAATATACCAAAAGAGACTAAGCCATTTCAAGTAGTTCATGTTGATCATTATGGTCCTGTGGACAAAGGTAGACCCAACAAGCATATTTTTGTGGTGATCGATGGTTTCACAAAGTTTGTCCGTTTATATCCAACAAAAACAACAAGTACAAAGGAGGTGAAGATAGCATTGGAAGACTATTTTAGGGCATATAGTAGACCACGGTGTATTGTATCAGACAGGGGTAGCTGTTTTACGTCAGATGATTTTGAAAAGTTTCTAGAACAAAATGAAGTCAAACATGTTAAAATTGCCACAGGATCTCCCCAAGCAAACGGGCAAGTGGAGAGGGTAAACCGTATATTGGGACCAATGATCGCAAAACTAGTAAATTCAGAGAAAGGGTTACATTGGGATATGGTATTAGAACAAGTAGAGTATGCACTTAATAATACAGTTCAAAGATCAATAAAACAGCACCCAAGCAAAATGCTATTTGGAGTAACGCAAAGAGGTAAAGAAATAGACAAACTAAAAGAGGAATTGGAAGAACTGAATGGAGTAACGGAAGATAGAAATATAGAAGAAATACGAGAAACGGCTAGAGTACACCAAGAAAAATTACAAGAATATAATAAAAAAGCTGTGGATGAAAAGAGAAAAGAACCACATAAATATGAAGAAGGAGATTTAGTAATGATTAAAAATTTTGACACTAATGTAGGGATATGTAAAAAACTTGTACCAAAATATAAAGGACCGTATAAAATAAGTAAGATTTTGAAAAATGATAGATATATATTGGAAGATGTAGACAATTTCCAACAGTCAAGGATACCTTATAAAGGAGTATGGGCAGTGGCCAATATGAAGCCTTGGTTGAGGACAGAGGCACATAAAGAAGATGATGTTGGAGTTCAGGAGCACTCCAGTCAGGATAGGCCGAGTTGTAGGAGATAAGTAGTATACATATACATACAAATATATATAAGCACCTATGTATACATCACACATTTGTAAATACACATAACATAATTATCTATAAGCATATCTGTAAATTATCCCTAAGCTTTAGCAACATGTTGTTAGGATATATGCATACACACAATAAACATGCATTCGCATTTTGACTAGCAACGAGATCGCAAGCTTTTGATTGATCGGCCAACAAACGCGTGATATTTATTGAACAGCCCACATGTGGGAGCTATCCGATATAGTCGGCCGATCCGGCCCGTTCCGACTTATATACTGCGTGCAATAACTATGTTACACAACTTTTGGAAAAGTTTCAACACGATAGCTTTAAAACTGAGAGACTAGTTTACATAGAAACCGACAGGAGGACAGACGGACAGTCGTACATACATATTTCGATTCAGATGGTGATGCTGATCAAGAATATATATACTTTATGGGGTCTGAGGTGTCTCCTTCACTGCGTTGCAAACTTCTGACTGAAATTATATTACCCTTTGCTCTGCAAGGGTATAAATATACCAACCACTTGAAAGATTGGTACACACTAAAAGGTTGCTGTGCGGGGGTCAAAGAGGGTCAAAGGCCTCTGCGTAGGCCATAGAATTCATAGAAAAATTCCCTATATAAGTCGAACCCAAACTAAATAAAACCAGTTTCCCACAAAAACTCAACCGTGTAACTGTTCTTATTTCGATGCATTTACAACTAGTATGATTTCGTCTCTTAGAAGGTCAAGATGTTTGTCGGACAAACGGTGTTTCTATTACTTGTGCTTCAGTTTTTACTTCTACCAAATTATGCCAAATCGGGATATAACAATCGACTATGTATACGTTATTACTTTATTATGTATATTATTATTCGGAAATATTATTATTTTTATTATTACCTGCAGGACTGTGAAACAGCACAATTAAAATGTTTTTCTTAATGCAAATCTCCACCAGGGTTCCCGACTTGCCATCCGGAGGAGAAGTGCGTTCCTTTAGGCTCTTGCCCATTTCTGCTTAGGAAAACGTTGCAGAAACGAATGCCCCAGGACGATAAGAATTTATTGAGAAGCAAGCAATGCAACTATCGTGAAGCTTCTTCACCAACCCAAGCATATTTTGTGTGCTGCCAGGTGCTGCCGAAGTCCTGCGGCCAACTTCCACTCGATTTCAGAGTTATTGGCGATATAGCGCAACTTAACGGTTTTCCCTGGATGGCCATGCTTCTATACCAACATCCCTGGGACCAGGACAGACGCTATACCCAAGAGTGTGCAGGATCCCTGATCAATAAGCGGTATGTCGTGACCGCAGCCCACTGCATAAATCCTGGGAGCCTTCTTTTAAAGATGGTGCGCCTGGGCGAGCACAATATTTCGACTGCTATAGACTGTGTACACAACGAATGTGCCCCACCACATCTGGATATCCCCATCGAAGAGAAAATCATCCATGAGGGCTATGACCGCCATAGCCTTCGCAACGACATCGCCTTGCTGCGACTCAAAAAACCAGTAGAGTGAGTAATGACCTTTTGTCCTGGTATTTTTTCTCTGTTTGAATTTTCTTTTACAAAATTAGGAGAATAGGAAATGTATTTGTATCAGTTTATCATTTAGGCATCCTCTTGTTTATATTCCTACAGCTATTCGAATGCCATCAAACCCATTTGCGTCATACCCAGCTATGACTTCAGAAACCATTTTTTCATCAACGAGTCTATGACAGTGGCCGGCTGGGGGGTTACGCAAAAGGGTCGTCGTAGTGACGTGTTGAGGACGACTACCGTAAAGGGAAGAGACTCAACAAAATGCACACAGACATTCAGAGAGTCCAGCCTTTGTGCACTTTCAACTGATGGATCAGATAGCACAAACGGCGACTCCGGCGGTCCTCTAATGGCCAGAATGGGAAATGCAATTAATGAATTTGTGTATTTAGCCGGGATTACCTCATATGGTAGCAAGTTTTTTGGTGTGGTCGGTTCTTCGTACACAAGAACTGAATACTTCATCGATTGGATAAAGGAGAAGTTAATACCTTCGTCACAAGATGAGTTTTAATAACTCCAAGATCAATAAATAAAAAAAAAAAAAAAATGGAAGCTAGCTTCGGCAAGCCGAAGCTTATATACCCTTGCAGTCATCAAATATTTCGAACAGAATACACAAAGGCTAAACAACATCGAAGCTACGACGACTTTTCTATTAATTTTCCATATTTTTGACTATTGTTCATATGGCATCTATATGATATAGTCGTCTGATTTTGATGAAATTTTGATTGTTATTCAAGAATCGTTAGAAAACTCTATATTCCAAAAATCATGATTTTCTGATGAGAAATAACGATGTTATCATTTTATTTCCGTTGATCCTATATAGATTTTTCGATCTTTCCTATGGCAGCTATATGATATAGTTGTCCGATTTTTATGAAATTTTTTTATACTCAAAAAATCATGCTCGTGGGATAAAAAACAAAGATGCTATCAATTTATTTCCATTAATTCTATATATATTTTTCGATCTCTCCTATGGCAGCTATATGATAGAGTTATCCGATTTTGTTAAAATTTAATCCGAAACTCAATAACAGAAAACGCCATCTTGAAGAATTCAAGTCGATCTGATCAAAAACAACGGCGTAAGAATTTTTTATTTCATTCTCTCGTATAGGAGCTATCCGATATAGTCGGCCGATCCGGCTCGTTCCGACTTATATACTGCGTGCAATAACTACACACCTTTTGGGAAAGTTTCAGCAAGATAGCTTTAAAACTGAGAGACTAGTTTGCGCGGAAACGGACAGACGGACAGACAGACAGACGGACAGACATACAGACGTATTCCGATTCGGCTCGTGATGCTGATCAAGAATATATATACTTTATGGGGTCTGAGGTGTCTCCTTCACTGCGTTGCAAACTTCTGACTGAAATTATAATACCCTTTTGCTCTGCAAGGGTATAAAAACAATAACAAAAATTCCAAAAATAGTACGAAATCTTATTAAACTTTCGCTCAAAACACGAACAACTTAAAATTTAAATTTTGTAAACTAAAACAACCATTGTTAAAGCTATTTAGGACTATACAATTTTCGCACTTATCAACCACAAGATCACAGCCCTGAAACTTTCTCCCCGTGAAATTAAATTAAATTTCTATATACAAAACTATGAAAAGAAAACCGCAGTGCTCGAAAATTGAATTAGGTTCAAGAGTTCAGGATGAGCCGCTGCCGCTATTGTGCCAGAAATTATTGAGTGAGTACTCTTGACATGGGAGCATTTGGGAACCCAACCAGCCGCTTATGCAATGGGCTCGCATCGCCAACAAAAGCCACTATCTGGCGTGGCCTCTGGGCCCGAGATTGATGTCATCAGTGCGTCATCAGCTTTCCTTTGGTCTCCGGCAGAAAGAGTCCCAAGACAATGAACCCGAAGAGGCACATGCCCGCCGACATGAACATTGTGGCAGCCAGCCCGTGGTCGTAGATCATCGTGGGGTAGATCTTCAGAGCCACGAAGATGAATCCACTGAAGGTGGCCATACTCAAGGAGGTGCCAATGGAGCGGATCTACAAAAGGAAAGGAAATATAGCACAGTATATCAGTGCATTTAAAAAGAGTTCTAATAGTGGGTAAAATCTTATTATTAAAAGAGTTTAAACAGATGGAGCTACAAATGCATCTGAATGCTTATTTATTTTTCCTGACAACTCACCTTTGCTGGCAGCAGCTCAATGATGATGATGAAGATCAGGGCTATGACACCCAGCGAGGCAATAAGGGCCACCAGGCACATGATGAGCAGGGGAAGCCAGCCATTCTGTTCCAGAAACTCCGCGGAGGCGAAGCACTTGAGCAGGGCAATGGCCAGCTCGCCCAAGCCCATTCCTCCCATCGAGGTGAGGAGCAGGACACGACGACCCAGTCGATCCACCAGGGCCACCGCGCTGAAGATGCCCACCAGCTGGGCAGCTCCCACCACAATGGTGCTGGTGTTCGGATCCATTTTGTTGCCCAGCTCCGCGAAAATGTGCGATGTGTAGTTGAAGATGGCGAAGCTCCCTGACAGCTGGTTGCAGATGATCAGCACAAAGATCAGGCCGAATATCTTTAAAGTGGGTACGTTGACTGCAGGGATAGAAATAATTAAACAAGAGAATGTCAGGTTGGTTTAAAGATAATAAATTGTAATTTTTGTACCTCCTACTTCCTAGCAATTGATAGAAATCTTAAGAGATATAAATACTTGTGCAAGTATCATATTTTTTAATCTAATAAATTAATATTTATAATAATATTTTGATATAGATTTTATGATTTAATGATTTGCAAATTTGTATAACATTTAATCTTGAAGGATATGATTACTTGTGTATATATTTAACCAAAGTATTATCTGTGTTTACTTCTTTGAGATGTCATGCATGAGAGAGATTAAATTACAATTTATGCACTTCCGACGCTTTATGATGAAATGCTTTGCAAATTCATTTAAGATTAAGTCTCAAAGGATATGACTACTTGTCCATATTTAACTAAAGCTACATTTTCGTGTTTACTACTTTACGATGTCATGCAACAAAGTAACTATCATTCTTATCAGCATTATACTTTGAAACAACACGTTGGTTTCTCATGCTGGATTTCTCATTGCTTTTGCTAACTTTATCCGCATATAACTTTTTATCTCACTCACTGAAATCTCGCCAAGAAATGCTCTCGGTGACACCGCCGCTGAGAACCTGAAGCCGAAAAGTGTCAAACTCCATTTTGGCCGCGTCATGCAGTGAAGCCTCCTTGTCAGAGGAAGTGGGTGGCTTCAGGTTCTTGTAGAAGTAGAAGGACTTCTCGGCCTGCTCATCCCGGCCCCGTCTCAGCAAATACTGTGGTGTCTCCGATAAGCCGATGATTGCCAGCAAAAACACCACCGGCAGGCAGACGATAATGCACGGCATCAGATAATACGAGAGGTACGAGGCCAACGTAAAGCCAACCATCATGCCGATGCTAACGTACATCATGGCCATGGATGACAGAGCTCCCCGGATGCTGGAAAAAATTGATAATTAATAAACATGTTGATAAAAACGAGTGTTTATATCATTAATCAATAAGTAAAACTAGACTACTCGTTTATATAAAGTTCGAAAAAAAACTTTTTTATCTACTAATTAGTAAACGTAGTGCACCGCAATAACATTTTTATGAGGCTGATAAAACAAATTACTTTTTTTAAAAATACCACAATCATGTTTTGTAACACAAAGCTAAATTGAGGTTCTAATTGACGACCTATCAAAATGACTTGTCACATATAATCTTAGGTTTTAGAACTGAAATCTTTTTATGAGATTACACAGGTCTTTTTTATAGTTCTAATAATAATACCCCAAATCCTTTTAATAAAACTCTGACTTATTTACCCTACCCACTATTCAAAAAAAGAAAATAACCCATAGATAAACACCTACCACAATACTATCAGTCTGCGAACTTGAAACAAATTCGATTGATATTTCAGAAAGTACTTGATGCAAATACCAATATAAGAGTGTAATATTTCCTAGACTTCTATCTATATTGCTGATAGCGAGGTTATCAGAGCACGTACAACTTGAAATAATCTACAATTAGATAGGTTTACCTATAATCCGAAAGGTAGTTCCTCACTCGGGTATGACGCCACTTACCTATTATCGGCGATTTCCGCGATGAATATTGGCAATACAACATAGCAGCCGCCTCCGGACATTCCCGCCAGAAATCGTCCGGCATAGAGATACGTGACGTCCTGGGCGGAATAGATAAGGATCCAATACATCTGCCGAATTCAAAGAAGTAAAGTTGAAAGTGGTGAGTCAAGCATTTGGGAAACCCCTTCAAAACAAGCTTATCTACCATATTGGGTATGGCCAGGAAATACATGCACACTTTGCGGCCCAAACGATCGAGTAGCAGGCCGAAGATTATATTGCCAGTTAGCGAGCCAAGTCCAATTAGTGATCCGACCCTGCCAATATCGAATGTTTATACCAAAACACTTCTGAATAATGGAAGTATTCTTACCAGGAGGCCTGCGTGATGGTCAGTGGATCTCCGAGGGGACTTTCACTGGACCCGAGGAGTCGCAAGGAGGGAGACAACCATCCCACGGCAATTCCATGGGTCAGCGTCATAATGTGTACTGGGATTATTTAACTTTTTATTAAGTTTTCCTATTTTCCACCGACTTCTCACCCACCCGTCATGGTGGCAATAAATTGCCATCGGTAACGCGCACTAAATACACTTAACTTCTGCTTTTGGCCCGAATCAAAAGTCATTTTGGCTGCTTTACTCTTTGTGATTACCAAAAGTAGTCCGCTTTTGGGTCCCGAATTAGCCACTGGGCGGTCGTGTGTCTACTGAGAGCTTATACCTTAGGTGGCCGACGTTTTTGTAGTCGAAATCACGTCGAGATAAGTACGCTTCTTGGGATTGTTAACATTAATGACGATTATAAAATTGTTGCAGATTAGATAAGGGTTAAGTAGTTGCAAAGTTTTTCCCTCTGATTAATGAACTACGGTTTGGCTTTAAGAGCCCTGGCGAAAAAGTCTGTAAATTTTGTTGCAAAAAAATGTCTATAACAAAAACAAAGCCCTTGACTATCAGACTAATCTTGCTGTTGAACTTGCTGAATGGGAGCAATAGAACTAGGTAAATTTGAAGATTTTTGCGTGAGTTGGTTGACAATATTTACCAAAGATTAGCCAAGTCATTGTAAACAAAAGAGTCGTAAAAAGTAATAATTCTTTTATTTAGTTAATCTGCTTTTTGTCATTTTGTTTTCACTTTCATGAAAATGTGTAATGACTATCTTCTGGTGAAATAAAAAAATACAAATAGAACAAATGGATCCAAAGGTAGATCATGATGGTAAAACAAAATGCGGAAACGGGGGTATTTTGATAATAACATCATTTAAATGCTTTGAAGTTCATTTATATTTGGTGCGTTGCTTAACAGAAATTTGGTTTGGGTAGAAGGATATCCCTTGTCTAGACATTGAATCTTCGGAGAAGCTTGAACAGTTCAGTGCATTAAACTCTTATCTCTTGTCTCTGGCAAAAGGAAGCCCATTATAGTCATGCCCACAAAGCAGAAGGCCGACGCCATGAACATTGCCACAGCCAATCCGTAATAGTGAATCACGGGTGGGAAGGTCAGGAGTGCCACGAATACCGCACAACTGAGTCCACACATGCTCAAGGAGGTGCCAGGTGCGCGAATCTGCGAGAAGTCGAACTCATTAGCCAAGTCATTAGAACTCCTTTGGAAAGCACAGCTTACCTTCACTGGCAGCAGTTCGACGATGATGACAAAAGTCAGAGCGATTATTCCCGCCGATGACAGGAACGCTACGCAGCACAGTAGAACCAGCCCAATCCAGCTGTGGGCGTTCAGAAACTCCTCTGAGGCAAAGAATTTTAGCAGACCCACACCTAGCTCACATAGACCCATTCCAGCCAGTGTGGGAATTAGCAGCAACTTGCGACCAACTCGATCCACCAGGAAAACGGCAGAGACTAAGCCAAAAAGCTGCACCAATCCCATTATCATGGCGCATATCTCTGGCTTAATAGTGCTGCCGAGTTCTTTGAAGATGCTAGCCGTGTAATTAAAAATGGCAAAGGATCCCGACATCTGGTTGCAAATGAGCAGCACAGCAATCAGCCCAAACGCCTTTAACGCGACACTGTTACCTAAATTGTAAAGAAAGATTTAATGTTGATCCGGATTGCTTATCAATTTAATTGAGTGGTTTTATTTTACTAAAAATGGCTATAAGAGATTTTTGGGAAATATTAATATTAGCTTACAGAAGTCCCGGCAGGTTATCTTTTCCGTAATACCCCCGCTTATAATTCTATCTCGAAAAGTCTCAAATTGCTTATTAGCTTCGGCTTCATTTTCAGGGTCGTCTTTTAAATTCTTATAGAAGAAGAACGAACTTTTAGATTTTTCTTCGTCGCCCCGTTTTAGCAAATATTGTGGTGACTCCGGAAGGAATATTAGCAAAATCATATACATAAGGGGCAGGATAACAACGACGCAAGGAAGGATATAGAAGGGGACGAAAAAAACCAGCACAAATCCTACTGTAACGCCTCCGCAGAGAGCCAGCATAAAAATTGCCGTTAGAGTGCCACGAACGCTTGAAGAAACAGAAGATTAATTATTTATTTTATAAGAAGAAGAGGAGATAGAACTCATAAATCACTAATAGTTTTGTTTTAAAAATAACTTTTTTTAAACGCAATATTGCGAGAGATAACAATTACCTATACATTATAAATACTATTATTTGACTGCCTTTAAAACATACGAAAAAACAAGAAAGGAAGCTAGCTTCGGCAAGCCGAAGCTTATATACCCTTGCAGTCATCAAATATGTCGAACAAAACGCATAAAGGCTAGACAACATCGAATCTAAGACGATTTTTCTATTCATTTTCCATATTTTTGACTATAGATCATATGGGAGCTTTACGATATAGGGGTCCGATTTTGATCAAATTTAATTCGTAATTCAAGAGTCGTAAGAAAACTCTATATTCCAAAAATCATACTTGTCTGATGAAAAACAACGATGTTATAATTTTATTTCCATTATTTCTATATAGATTTTTCGATCTTTCCTATGGCAGCTATAAGATATAGATGACCGATTTTTATGAAACTTTTTTTCCAATATAAACGTTGTTAAAAAACTTGATATTCAAAAAATCATGCTCGTGGGATAAAAAACAACGATGTTATCAATTTATTTCCATTAATTCTATATATCATTTTCGATCTCTCCTATGGCAGCTATATGATAGAGTTATCCGATTTTGATCAAATTTAATCCGAAATTCAATAACAGTTAGAAAACGCCATCTTGAAGAATTCAAGTCGATCTGATCAAAAACAACGGCGTGAGAATTTTTTATTTCATTCTCTCATATGGGAGCTATCCGATATAGTCGGCCGATCCGGCTCGTTCCGACTTATATACTGCGTGCAATAACTACACACCTTTTGGGAAAGTTTCATCAAGATAGCTTCAAAACTGAGAGACTAGTTTGCGCGGAAACGGACAGACGGACAGACGGACAGATGGACAGACGGACAGACGGACAGACGGACAGACGTACATGCATATTTGGATTCTGATCGCGATGCTGATCAAGAATATATATACTTTATGGGGTCTGAGGTGTCTCCTTCACTGCGTTGCAAACTTCTGACTGAAATTATAATACCCTTTTGCTCTGCAAGGGTATAAAAACGAGAGAAATAATTAATAATTATCGGTTAAATATTCGAAATCCAAAAGCAGAAGATGTATAGTTTTACCTGAATTTTAACATGGTATTTTAAGAGTACCCCACAAACAAGTTGTATAGTGTAACCTGAATTCTAACATGGTATTTAAAGAGTACCATACAAACAACTCAAATCTTATTTTTTCGGTCCTATGGTTACCTCTCGTTTAGACTAATACCAGAAATTTGAGTAATTTATAACGTTGTCAATACTTACAATAACATTGAAGAAACTAACTCAAAATGTTATTTAAAAGCGTTTTTGGATTCGATGGGAATTTTCTGAATTCGTATATTCAATTTTATGTGTGCTGCGAAATTATTATTCTCTTGAAGAGGCTTTTAAATTTGTGAGTCAGAAGTTTGCAAGGTAGCCTCTGAAATTTTATTTGAATATTAAGAGCCCTATCTTTCCATTATTGTCGTCCGATTCAGCCTGTTTCGACTTATATATAAAGTTTCATAGATACAGTTTTAAAACTGAGAGACTAGTTCACCTAGAAACAGACAGACGGACAATCAGACGGAGAGACTAACGGACGTATGTAGATCGGTTCAGATGGTGATGCTTATCAAGATTATATATTCCTTATTGGGTTTGAGATGTATCCTTTACTGCATTGCAAACTTCTAACTGCAATTATGATACCCTCAGCATATCAAAATTTTGTTAGTATAGATAGTGATAAGCTTTGGCTTGCCGAAGCTTATTTCCTTTCTTGTTAAATGCTGACTTTGGCTAAGCATACTTAGTATCAGAAATTTCGGCGATAAATATGGGAAAGCACACCACAAGAATGCCGCCAGATATTCCCAGCAGGGCACGTGCCACATACAGATAGTATGCATTGTCTGCTACCCAGATAAGGATCCAATGAATCTGAAAAAACAAAAATGTTTTACGAATACCCTATCGAACAGGCAAATTTAATCTATCTACTATGTTGGGTATAGCAACAATATACATGCACTTCTTTAGTCCAAAAATGAAATCATGAAGCAGATCGTCATATTGGTAAGCAAAGAGCCGACTCCAAGTAATGAACCAATCCTTAAAAAAGCTTTCGAATTGTAAACAATCCAGAGGAATGGTTTTTAGGGTTCACGTACTTACCACATGACATCTTCAATTGTGAGTGGTTTACCCATGGGACTGTCGCTGGAAGAAAGGATTGGCAGATTGGGCGATAGCCATCCCAGAGAAATACCATGAGTAAGGGACATAATGGACACTGGGATAAATCAGCACAGATCAAAGGCTAAATGGATCACAAGATTCGTACCCACCTTCCAAGGTTGAAATTAACTGCCAGCGAGCTCGCTTGCCACAGATACCCATATTTTACGATTTTGAGAAGACGAAAGTCATGGTAGCCTAATGAGAATACAGTTCTCCTTCGACACAATAATTTACAGAAATCTAAAGAATGTAAATCATCGTATACTTTTTAAGATTTGAGTACTGCCACAATGTAATTACGATAAGATTTTCTTAAGTGCAGTTGAAAATTTTAGTTTTGGCTTACATTAACACTTTTATGCTTTAAAGCAGTTAACTTTTTCAAAAGGTACATTTATTTTTAATTTCTTTATGTAATTAACCATGATATCTATAAAAAAGATATAATTAAAAAAGTTGAGATTTGATTTATTTGGTTTAAAATTTTCTTATAAAATGTACCTACATTTTAGTTTTTGTCTGGCTTCTTGGTTTATTAGAGTGGTAAAACCCCTCAAGACAGCTTACAAATAACGAATGCTAATGAAATACACTTTTATCTTATGTTTATTCACAACAAAAAAAAAAAAAATGCCACACTCACGTTTTATAGAGTCCAACTGCTTGAATTCACATACTATAAAGTTATGAAATTCGCGGAACTCAGTGTATTTTATCTCCCAACAATTGGGAGCCATAAAGTTAGGGTTAAGCGTGCACTTCATTAATGAATATGTTCATTAAGATAGCAGCTTTAAATACTTTTAAGAACAGTAAACATTTAGAAACAGTTAATCTTGATAGTTATTGCTATGAGTTAAGGGGGATCTTAAAATATCTTGATGCTTATAAAGCATGTTTTATTGAGAAGTTCACATCCATGTCATCAGACCTTTTCGGGCTTCTCTAGCATCTCTAGCTTCAGCTGGTGGGGCTCCTCCACGGGTGTCAGCTTGTAGTGGACGAAGGGCTGAACCACCGGAGACAGGAGCTTCGGGTCGTGCTTGTAATCGGGTCTGGGCTTGAGGATGTAGCTCAGGGGAACAGCCACCAGCCAGGTGATGAAGAAACCCGTCACCGTGTACAAGTTGAAGGACAGATCCAGGATGCTGAAACCCTCATCCTTCACCGGCGCTTCCGTCGTGGAGCTGAGGAGCAGGGAAGACACTGAGCTGGATTCGGTGAATGTTCCATTCAGAGGAAGCGGAGCTGGACAACCGGCGGTGCTGGTGGGCAGGGTATCGTAGTGGTTGCGACCCCAACTCGCAATGACAATGCCCGCCATGCAAACGATGCTGACAATGACTCCATATAGGGCAGCCCTTCCGTGGGATTTGGGCACCAGCATGCCCAGCATGAAGACGCCGCACGTGGATCCAAAGCTGACGCCTCCGATCGAGTAGATCACCTGCAGAATCGAGGTGAAGTTCTCCACCACCATGCCACCCAGGATGCAGTAGATTCCCGCGAAGAAAACGAAGAGCTTCATGATCACGTTCGCGCGGTGCTCCGTGTGCCGGATGTGTGGCTTGATGTAGTCGAAGTACACCACTCCTCCCAAGGAATTGATGCTGGCGGAGAGCGTGCTGAGGGCAGCACTGAACACGCAGGAGATGAACACACCCGGCATGCCCCACAGGTGTCCCACGGTGTCCTGCACGAAGTAGGGAACCATCTTGTCCACCTTGGTGACATGACCCGATTGGATGGGATCGCAGTCGTGGAACCTCGAGTAGATCACAATTCCCGTGAAGCAGTTGAAGAACATGATCAGGATGAAGCCGAATCCGAAGATTACCAGGGATCTTCTGGCGTGGCCCAGTGAGGGCAGGGACACAATTCGCTGCACGCAGCTCTGGTTGAGACCCACGTATCCCGACCACATGATCGTCGCCGAGGTGAAGATGTTCCAGATGGTCGATCGCGTGGTCAGATCGAAGTTGTAGTTGATGTCCAGGCGACCGCCCTCTCCCGCAATGCGAAGCACTTCGGAGAGGCCGCCCACCCGATTGGCGCCCATGACGCCCACCAGCACCACCGACACCACCATGATGGCCGCTTGGATAACGTCGGTCCACACCACCGCCTTGATACCGCCGAACATGGTGTAGAAGATGCAGATGCTACAGACGACGGTGTTGATGATGTGCACATTGAATCCAGTCACCTGGGCGAAGGCCAGCGAAGGCAGGAAGATGAAGATCGGCAGCATGAAGAACATCGTCATGATGAAGATGAAGGTCTGCAGCACTCGCACCTCGCGGCAGAACCGCATCTCCAAGTACTCGTAGCAGTTGGTGATGTTGTTGTTGTAGAACACTGGGATGACCACGTAGTTGAGCAGCGGCACCACCACCACCATGCAGACCACATTGAAGAACCAATTTTCCGTAGGCGTACATCTCCGCCGGAATGGTCATGATCGATATGGCCGACAGTTGGCTGGCCACCAGGGAGATGGCAATGGGAATCGTCTTCATCCGCTTTCCCCCCATCAAGTACTCCTCCGTGGTGTCCGCTCCCTTGGCGAAGAACCCGAAGTACACTCCGATTGCGGCGGAGATGCTCAGCATCAGGGCGAATACGGCGTAATCCGTGGAGTTGAAAATGAACTGGGAATCGGGGGTCACGGTGGCAGCCGTGGCCAAAACGGAGGCGTTCGAGAGGATCGACATTTTAAAAGATCCAGCCGGGAATTTGCGGCTCACTAAAGTCACTGAAGCACTTTTCTTTGAACACTTTCGACTCCGGCGGTAGAAAATCACAAGTAAGCGTATAATGAAACCCGCCTCCTCCTTATATGTGATACCTTATCTCGGGAATTGCCTGCTCTAAATATTATCTATCGACGGCGCTCTCACGCATGGAGCTTATCTAGATAATGGCATTATCACCTAGGATCTAAAGTCACCATTACAATCCTGCTGAGAATCTGCCAGTCATCCGATTATCGCCAGTCATCGGAGGAGGTGAACTCCCTCTGGGAGATCGTGTTCCGTGTTTGCCCGCCGACAGGTTTATCGGGAGATCAAGGCTAATATATAGGGATGTTTTAAGAGCAGCGGAGATAAGATCATAGGCCACAGAAAGTGTTTGATTTGATTCTTATCAAGTGTTTTATTGAGGAGCAGTAATCCCCCTTGTGTTCTTACTGGCTTTGTGTAAATACTCATTAAGATTTGAGGCTAATATAAGACTTGTTTGATTGTAAATAAATAAAACTAGGTGGAAGATAGCTGGCGCCTTTTAAGCCTAAGTAACTGATAGCATCAAAAGAGAAAAGAAATCAGGCAAGGCAATCGAACAGCATGACAACAAGTTAATGTGGGGGAGAATCTCTGGAAAACCATCCGAAAAGCTGAAAAGCATCGGTTTATCGGAGTCCGATCAGCGATCGTGTCACAATAAATGATTTTGCTGCGATCAAGTTATTATCCGCAGTTCCTGGCCCCACTCAGCCAATCGGTCGGTCTCTCATCGACTGTCTCGATCGATAATAAGGGGTTCCTGTGCTACCAGCTCGCCGGCTTTTGGAGGCGGCTTACATAAATCTCAGTTGCATTTTAATGCACAAAAACGGCCCATCGTGATTCCTGGTGGAGGAGTCGGTCGTCGGGTTTCGTGGCTGGAGCTCTGCACGGTCGGAGGTCATGCCCCGCGGTTTGTTGGGCCGTTTGTAAATGCTCAATAAAAAATATCAAATTTTTTCTGTGTCATTTGCATCTGGCTGCGATCCACGGCAAGCCGTGACCATATTATAACCCAGGCCGGCACTTTGACACAGCCGGGATGTCGGGAAGCCGGGAAGGCAATAAGTGCCCATAAGCTGGCTTCTTTGGTGGCCGGAACGCTTGTCTTTCATCATTAGCACACAATTGTTAACTCGGTTCGAATGCTAAGATATCACTTTCGTTTGTTCAGCTGTCAGGGGAGATAAATTGTGCACCAAAAGCGCGGACAAGCTCGGGATCTCAGACTCAAGTCATTAACATCACTTTTCCCTCGCTTATCTGGTTTAACTAACATTCCGGCTGGATGATGCACTTTATCCGGATAAATGCGGACTTCTAATCTCTTCAACAGGTTGGTTAACTAACCTTATTGTACCGCCTGATTTACTTTAATTTATTTGTGGCTTGCATAACAGATAACATCTTAGAGATATTTCAAAGGAAACATCAATTGCTGTCATCGACTTTCGAATCGAGCGACGTTGCGGCTGCTGTCGATTTTTTAGATGGAAAGAATAATTAAACGAATTTATTTGTGTCAATATTGAACAGGTCTTTTTTATTCTATTAAATTATTTGATAAATGGTCTTTGCAGGTCGCAATCTCTTAAACAAAAATTGGTATTTGTCTTACATTTTTTATCATGACGAATTAAAGATATTTATTTATAGCAATGTTTTGATTTCGTAAGGAAAAGTCTTGCAATTTATCAACAAAAAATCGAAAGTAAAATGTTTGATACATAGGTGCATTTAATAGTAGTCCACATATGTGTATCATCCACTTTTATATCTTCCGAAACCCAAGGGCAAGTAAAAATACCTGTGGCTCTGGTAGCTAAGAAAGTCAGAGAACATTTCAAGGATTTAAAATTTATAAGATCATTTTAAAATGTTTCCCAAAAATCATTTATCAAGCTACCCAGACTTATAACCTCAGATCATTCATCAAGAAGCTATCTTCACCTTTGATCTTGACAAATGTGGGTCGAGTCCAAAAAAAAAACTTCAGACATATAACAGAAGTTCAGCGAATTTCCGCCCGAAAAAGGGCCAAGATAAGCTAACAAAAAACAAATGCCGCGCCCGTTTCAGTTCGAGATTCCCAAAAAAGTGAACAATTAAATCAACAAATTGTGGCTGCTGCATCGGCCGAAGAAAAAGAAGAGGCTTTGGCCAAAAGCTGAATGAATGACGGCATGAATGGATGAGTAATTGAAGGCAGCGGTCGCTGTTCTCAGGCTAAGAAGCACGTTGACACAGAGCCGTGTGTGGGTGTATCTTTCGGGGTATCTGGCAGATACTTTCGGTGGCCCAGCATGACTGAGACCAAGACGATCGGGCCCTCTAGCCATGGCGAAAATCGCACGTTTCTATGCAAATCTTCTTTGCTTTTCAATCATCTACACGACTAGGCCACGGCGGCTTCTGTTTTTCTATTTTGTTTTTCTATTTCCAGTGGGGGGCTTCTTTGGTGGCTGGTTGTCCGGAGACGTTTTTGGGGGCCTGTAGGCAATAATTATCGCTTGCATTACGTATTTCGGCTGCTTCTCGCTTTTGTTTTCGGCTCGGCGCGACTGTGTGGCAATCTAACTGGGTTGGCATAGAAAACGGGCGTTAAAATTAACGGGAGTTAAATGGTTTTTCAATTCACAAAAGCCAAAGGCAACGCCGAGATTGCATGAGGGCCCACCATCCAATCCACGCTTCTCTGATGGATGGTTTGGGGTTAAATATAGGCTAGATGGCTTCTTAGATACTTCTACAATGATTTGACACTTTGCCCAGTCCCTGGGTTTTACCCACCGAATTTGCTGAATTACTTTTCAACAAAATAGAAAAACGACCTTTTAAGGTTGTTGCCCAATGTTCGCAGATGCACTCCCTTGGTGTTAAAGTTTGTGTCTTTTGTTGTAAGTTTGCTTGCTCAGAAAAACATATGTGCAAGAAAAACTTCAAAACTTAACTATTTTTGAAACCATTTTACGTCAATATTTATGTTTTTCTTTAATTAGGAATTATTGCCAGTTATCTTTTATTTGATTCTTTCTAGCAGTGAGCTCAGTATCAATCTTTAAGTAAACCTATAAAATTAGCACCTCTTATACAGCAATAAATATTTTTCAATTTTATAGATTGTTTATCTTTATCTTTTAAAAATTTGTCCGTCATCGCATAAAAGTTTGAAATTAAGGCCTACATTACAATTTTGGTTGATTTATTAGCATTTTTATTACTTAATAAAGAATAATGCTAATCGAATGATTTAGGTCTAATAAGATGCATCTAATAATTGTTTTTATTGCTTGCAAAACGCTTGTAAGATATCGATTGGGCAATTCATTATGATTGCATGCGGCTCGCCACGCCGACGTTCTTAATGAGAAAAGCTGCAGACTCAATGTCATTTGCATGGGCAAACGACAAAACGTTGTAAATATATTTTAATGAAAGAAACCACCACCAACTAGTTAAGAGCCAGAACCAAGTCGCCATTAAAGTCACGTTAAGCAGCAGAAGCGGCGACTGGCGGGTGATTACGGCCATCACTTCTGATTTTGAATAGAATCCAATGTTAATTTTACATGAACCGCCGGCAATTGGCGATGATCCAATGCTGGAAAGCTACTGCTGGCTGCGCGATGGCCCATGGCTGGAGATTCGTGGGAATATTTGCGGCTGCCATTATTTGAGCATTTTTGCTACACCGAATCCATAATCGCAGGCGCAATGAATCGGCATCTGCATCTGCCTTCGTGTGCAGAAGGAAGAAACAGTTGCTGCCAGCGGAGGAGACGCAGATAAAGCCAACGAAAATCAAACAGTGATATTATGCAATGCGGAGCTGGCTGCTGGGCCCCAACGACGCTGCCCCAAAATCATAATAAAAACTGTCCACTGTCAACTCTTCAGCTGTCTTCCCTTTTGCTCCATTGTCTGGCGACTCGCAGGAAAATAGAAGCCGAGAAACAACCCAAGAAACAAGAAACGCCTCAAGTCAAAGAGTCGTCACTGCGAGCATTTCGAATCTTTAATTTGCGATTTTGTTTGTTATGCCTTCCACGAGCGATCGAGCCATCGGCCCATCGACCAGCTCATCGCCAACTAACCACCGGCCCACTCCAAGCCCCAGACTTCAGACCCCAGACCCCAGACCCCTAATCCCAGTCAAAAAACCCTACAAGTGCTTCCCCTTCCTCATTAAAGGTTGATGGATTTTCAAACTGTCATCTCGCTGATTGACCGAAATCGATTTCAATTGTATGTGGTCAGCGTTTAATGCAATTTATGGGAAACGACGCAAAGGAGGTTAATCCTTTCAACTGTCAACCGGTAAGTGGGCGTGACAATGTTGCGTATACGTAATAGTGATGGTAATGAGTCAAGAGATCCATACAGAGGGAAAAGTATGAAAATGCTACTGAACATTTAAAAATTATATATACAATTCTAAAATTTAATAAAATGTTCTAGAAAAATACCTAAATTAACAAGAATTTATGAAATAGTGAGTTGTAAATATATTTAAAACATACGCATCGAAATCTTTTTTCGTCCGGGGGCAAATTAAAATTGCTTTACGTCTTAAAATATGAAATAATTTCTGTTTTCCAATAGTTATCTAAAAAACTCCCCCTGATTTATAACCCCCTACCAATAATCATAGCCGTTTGTAATATGGTAATCATTTATAATGTATATATACCTAGTATGTAACAACATTTTAAAAATCACTCCAAACTCTTCAATAAAAGTACACTGTTGAGTAAAGTAATAAAATATTATTGATTTACAACATTTTTAAATTACTAACAATAAATAGTGTAAGGTTTTATAGTATTATCTATAGTAGCATCTCAGATTAAAGATAAAAGTTTAATTATTATTTAATCGTTTTTAACTTACAAGGACTGGAATGTAACTTACACCTTAGCAATAATATTATGCTTAAGATACTGTGATGAAATTTCCGAAATAGCTCAGACTGTCGTAACAGTGATTTTTTCTTAGCAGAAATGTTAAGCTTTTCTCCGCCGATGCGGCTCTGTTAAAATCTTCGGAGCCCGAAGATTTGTGCTCTCGTCTTCGGTCTTTTCCGCCCCTCTCTGGATCGCGGCGATCAGCTGATCGCTGGACCGGTTGCAAAGACACTCTGTGTTTGTTTGACTTTGCGACTGCTTTTTGATTTTGGCCACTCTTCAGGCGTCTTTGGGAATTGAGGAAGATGTGGCAGCGATCTTCGCTGGGGCGGTAAGTTCGTCCAAATCGGAGACGACGAGTGGCTTTGCCTTTGCTGTGTTTGCAGTGGCTTTGCGAGCGTTTTCGCTAAACAGAGATTCGAGTCTGCGGCCCGCTCAACTACTAAAGTTGGACGCCGCATTTGCCAATTGAAACATTCAAATGTGAATATCGTACGGGTGAAGACGTCTTCTGCTCGTCTGGCTCTGGCTCTTACTGTATTTTCATACCAATTCGAAGTGATAAACTTAAGAAAAATAAAGTGCTTATGGTGTTTAAAACTCTAGTGATAAAAACTTATTTTTGATGTCTATACTTTAAAGGAACAATAATGTACAAGTTAAACAGGATTTGATTATTAAAGATTTTTGATCGTGAACAACTTTTAAAACACCAAGGATTCAAAGCGATTCAAACAAGACAGCAAAATCACTTCATGTTGAAGTCTGCATTTATCTTTCATAAGTTTAATTTAATCAAATATAGTTTTTTCTCTATTTACTATGAACTTGCTCCAAAATCAACGTTACATTTGTACTAATTTATTTACTTCCTTTGAAATTACCAAACTTGAGTTTTGTCTTAATGACAGCTTCATAATGCAGACATGAAGACTTGAAGTGATTTTGTGCTACCACCGAAAACATCAACTAAATCGTGATATCTGTGCATTACAACCTGATCCCTCTCTAGCCCATAACAAATAATAAACCGAATAATCGAGCATAGTGAGACAACATAAACAACAATAACGAATAATATGCAACCATCTAAGTAATATTCACAAGAAAAACGAAAACAACAAAACGCCACGAATAACCCAGTCGGAGAGCGGAAAACTTTGTCATAAATAAGTTTACGGCGAAACCTCCATATTACTTCAATCACGAAACCGAAAGCAAAAAAGGAAGCTGTGGAAGATTGAGTTGCTGCCACAGTTACCAACCTGACTTGCCGGAGTGTTACTGCTCTACAAACTGACATTCAGAGTTCTGCCAATGATGCTGATGCCGCTTAAAGGTGAGTGAGTCGATCGGATCTGGGAATACTTTGCCGAGAATTTCGACAGCTCGACAGATCGACAGCTGAATAGCTTGGATGCTTCTAATAAAATGCCAAACGCAGTTTGTACGCATGAACGAATAATAAATGGTTGTGTGTATTCAAGTTGGTGCCTTTCACAAAGCATCATCTTAGTTAGATTTATTGCATACGTAATTTTATTACTACTTTTGGCCAGTCAGCAAGCCAAAGATGCTGGTAAAATGTCAATGCGTTGGCCGTCCGATGGAGAGGCTATTTTATGGTGGCTCTTGCAAGTTATGCAAGTAAATGTTCATATTCACTTAGATAAGAGAGGATACTTAATGTAAAAAGATAATAATACTTAACAAGGATTTTTGAGAAAAATAACTATTCCTTCATTCTCTAAGTAATTATGCAATGCTGGTTTTTATATAGGTGGATTAAAAGATATTTACTTCCATTAACTGCAAGATAATTTATTTTAGAAAAATACAAACATATTAAAATGCTGCTTGAAGTGTTTACAATTTTATAAATTCTTTAAGTTTCCTTGAAAATAGATTTCAATATAAGCTCGATACTTAAGCTGAAATTTAACCTCCGAAAGCATCAGATTATTTATCCATTAAATTTGTTTAATAACTTAATCAAGTTGGCTCATTGGTAGACTCAAAGTCATTACCATTCAAAATCAGTAGACTTGACTTCTTGTATTTTCACTGATCAATGTAAAAATTAATTGGTTCTAGCCAAATCAGTCAATGGACAATTTCCATAAATCTTCAGTTCGCCAGAGGCGACTCTTGGCTGATGATTAATTTGCAAATTGTTGGCTTGCTTAGATGAATAGATACGGCAATTAAAAGCCTCAAAACTGCCGGCATGCATTTCAATTTTGTAGGTTTTCTAATTTTTACTGCATAAATTTGGTGTTGCAAAATTTGCAACCGCAATTGTTGCCTCGACTTGGCATTGTTATTAACGAATCTAAGATAATGCCGGCGGGTCTGAGCACACAGTTCAAGGATGAACGGCAGCGGTAGCAACTCAACTCAGAACCAAAACCCTTGGGAGGGGGCTGGTCCGATCTGGTTTGCTTTGGGCTTTGGGTTTTGGGCCGGGCCAGAAGAAAACCAGCCATTTGCAGCTGTAGCATTTTTGTGTTAGATAATTTCGATCGCTGTTCGCCGAACAGTGATTACTGGGTGAGCAACTCGGCCAGAGGGCCACAGAAAGTAGTGCAGAAATTGGGAAATGCGCCTTAAATGTCAAGAGGTGGCGCAGTTTTGTTTTCTTCTACAGTACAGCCTCGTGGCGCAAATGAACAAAGGAAAGCCTGGCTAAGAGAAAAGACAAATTTAGGCCAAATGTGTGACTTAACGTCTTTCACATCACACACCTACACACACACATACACCCACCCACCCCCACAAAAGGGAGAAAGGGGAGGCCTGCTTTTGTTTTATGTGGCAGGAGGTTAAAGTTGACTGGGGAGACGAGCCGAAGGCAGGCGAAAAATAAAGCAAAGCCAGCCCAAGCCAAGCCAAGCCAAGCTGGGCTGACTCAAATGTAACAAAATGCTACAATATAATTTTGCCCGTTGTTGTCTGCAGATGGCCAGATAAAAGTTCAAAATGCGAGTGGTTGTTGTTAGACTCTTAACCGGGTCTAGTCTGGCCGAGTTGGCCTGGATGGCCTGCTCTGCTCTGCTCTGCTCCGGTCTGGTCTGGTCTGGTCTGGTCTGGGCTGCTCATTAACGTTGCCAGCGAAAGAAATGGCAAATAAATTAAAAAGTCATTCAAGCAACAATGCCCAAAAGGAGGATTCCCCTCCAGCAACTTAGGCAGTGCTGTTTTAAGTCGCCGTAGTCGTGTACCTTGTATCCCATTCAAGTGTTGATGCGTTAACTGGCGCTGCGTGCGCATCGCTGAAAAGCCAATGAGCCGCATCTGCGAGATACGGGTAAAAGTATCTAGCGATTCCTTGTAGACAAAACAAACAACTTTACAAAAGCTGCTGCTCTAAGTCGCTTTGCTGGCGTTGTTTTTGTGGCCCGTCTTTAGTGATTAATGAAGTGTAAATAATGTCGATGTTTTGTATTTTTTCTGTTTTTTTTTTCTAAGTCAAAATTTCAACATATTCTAGGCGGATCCACTCGGGTTTTTCATCAAGTTATTATTACGATTCATCGTCTTTTTTCTTTTTCTGTTCTTCAACTTTAAGTCCAGGTTTTTATTTTGGCAACCACGAAAAAAACGAAAGACTTTGACAACGAACTTGCATCAAGCCAAAAACTTCATACAACCGCAACCACTTTTTAGTCACTTGGCAGAATGTCAGTTGAGTGCACTTGAGCCATAAAAAACCTCTTGTCAATTTTTTCGTGAGCAAATAGAAAACAAAAACCAACGAACTTGAACTTTTAAAAGGAATTGTGTGATTTAGGCAATCAAATGATGTCTTCAACTCAGGCATTCAACTATAATTTATCAAATTTATGCTGCATCAAGCCTTTCCTTAATAATAGTTATTTACTCGCATGCGTAGACCGTTCAATTACATCACGATTTTAAATATGATCATTATAGCCATTCGGCGACTAAATGCCAGCATTCTGCTCGTTCATCAAGACACACGTGCGTTGCGAATTGCGTGGCGTTTGTCAGCTTTTTTAATGGAACCTCATCCACCCAGATATAGCAATAGTTATAGCCATTTCTAGCTTAACACTCGGCCACAGTCTGCAGGCTAAATGTCAGGCCAAGAAGCTGACCTCCATGGCCTGGCTTGCTTCGTTTAGGCCATTTTAGGGCTGCCACTCGAATGGCATTTTGATCTGCATGGTCTAAGGTGAACTTCACGGAGAAGGAGTTTCCATCTTGGACAGTGAGTTGCACATAAACATTTTATAGCAGTGAGTTTCTTTTGGGAGCTTAGCAAATCGGACCGTTTTTCTTGGATAGCGGACCAACTTTTTTAATTAGGAGCTTTTTTTAGCACGAGTTGTTCGGCCACAAAAACAGTCATAATGAATTTCGGCTTTAGTGGCTAATAATCGCAGTTATCAATGTTCCTCCATTTATTAGGTAAACAATGAAAAATGAGCAAATCTCGTCAGGCTTTCAGCCACAGAACAAGTTTTGCGAGGTGCTTTCTTTCTACGCATATCGAATTTATCTAAGTTTTGATATCGAGATAATTAATTCGTCGTTTTACAGTTGCTGGAGAACCTGATTCCAGATTATTTGACTCACTTCTCTGTTTGTTTACCTCTTAGCCAGGATCTAATTCGGGATAGTGACATCATGTGGCTCGCGCTAAGGATGCGTATTTGTTTCTTCTCGATCGCGATCAATAAAACAGGTTGCTGGGTGGCTCGTGAATCATAAAAAAACGTATTAAATATGAAGACACTAATGGGATATTTCTAAAGAGGTGTCGGCCAAGGCCAGAATCTCGAATTGCCGTTCTCACCGCGGGTTATTAAAAGCATTTGGCAATAAATTTATGGCCACGAATATTTCCCACTGATGTTCAAAGCGGTTCCTCTGAACTACCATTACGTATAAAAATAAACAAGAATAATCTGTCAATAATCGCACATTGGGCACTACTTAAGTAGGCAACTCTCACAAATTGGTATCAATATCAGACACCTATTCCATTCGAACAGCTGACAGCCAATTAGAGACACCTACCTCACATGCTTACCATTGAAAATCCAATCAATAAATCAAAGAAGCCAGAAACAAATTCCGCATTTATTCCTCTGTATTGTTGGATGTTTTCAAGCACAATCGGGCGCGCGAAGGCAGCCAAATGACAAGAGCTTTCAACAGTCATAATCATGTTTGCTACACAAAAACATAACCAGAAAAAACACTTTGATATTTTGGAACTCGTTGTCGCTTACAGACGCGCGCTTGAAAAATGGCAAAAACAGCAAAAGGCAACAAAAGCATTTTTCTTGTCGTGCCAAAGTCAAGTTCGTTACTTGAGTCTTTTGTTTGAAGTTCGCTGGGGAGACTCTAGAATCGTGTTTTGAGCTTTGAACTTATCCTAATACAGCTGCCGATTACGTCTTCTGAATACTGAAGAGTAAACAAAAATGTAATTTTCGCGCGATTTCCGCTTAAAGTTTTTCATTTTCCGCCACCGACACGCTAAACGAACAACGAAATCATAACAAAATCAAAATCAAAATGACTTTCATTTACGCGGCAACAGGCAAACAAGAAACAATTACCCCAAACAATAAGCAACTAATTCGCATCTCATCTGCTGTATGGCTAACACATATACACACACACACACACACACACACGTGAGTGCATTGAGATGGGTGCAAGTTGAAGCAATCACAAAAAGGCCATCTCGACGAGGAAAAGCGCGGCAAAGAGAAGCCACAAAGCCCCACTGACTCAGTTGGGTTGGCCATTGTTGCTGGCTATAATTACTACGAGTATTCGCCGCGAGAGTTGATTATTTAACCGGGTGACATAAATACGTGGCGCCCTGATAACAAACGCTGACCCAAATATGCGTAATCTGGATTCGAGCCGAACAAAAGAACCAATTCGAAGTGCAACACTGTTGCTGCTGCTGTTGCTGCTACTTTGGCAACAACCGACGACGTCGACACCAATTACTTATTAATTGCCGCTCGACTCGACTCGACTTGGCTGGTTGTTGTTGTTGTTGTTGTTTTTAGTGGTTGTTGGTGGCTGGCAGTTGGTGCTACTGGTTTTCTGCTGCAATTGTTGCCGGCGTGTCTGAAGCCGTTTGGGCTGTCATAAATTGCGCTTGCCAGCTCGAATCTGCAGATTGCCTCATATCAATTGAAACTGGCAGAGCGGCGTTTTCAATTGTTATCTTTTGATATTTTCGGCTATTAGCGAAAACTTGGCACATCCAGCGGCAAGTTATATATCTTTCTGGTGACAACTCAATTGTTATGTGAGCACTGGCGGGGGATTAATTTCCGCGATGGGTGA